AGCATATGTGTGTTGGCGGTAGTGGTCTGTTGTTTAGGTATTCTGTGGCCAAAGATATTCCTCCCTATGTTTCAGTCGGCGATCTCTATGACCAGCGATCATACGGAAAGTACCAGAGGTTTGTGTTTACATCGATATTACTATTAATATTCTTATAACATCTCATTTATTCGCTATTCAATGGGAAATCAATTGTTTTGTTAATAAAATATTCTATGGCTGTAGTGCAGAATCTATTAGAAATGCTTTTGATTTAGATGTCAACTAGAATGCAGTCATAAATGTATTATCTGAATAATTTCATATATTGGTTATTAAAACAAAATATTCATCTACTCGCAAGTTAGTATAATGACATTGGAGAAATAATAGAAATAAAAAAGCAATTTTTATATGAATTCACATAAACTGCAGTATTTTAATGAATTAGATTTTCAATTTCAGAGCAGTATTTTATTTGTCTTACAAAGAAACAATTAGTTTTTCTATTAAACATGTAATTATCTTGCTTTGAAATGCAATTTGTTTATATCTTAAGAAGCATAACTTAATTGAATTAAAATAATTAGAAAACTAATTGTACAACTGATAGATGTGAACCAACTCTATAATATTAAACATTTGATAACATTTTCAAATGATTATTTGATAAATTGAATAAAAAAATAAATTATTTACATAGATAAGATATTGTTTAGTAAATAAATATCTATAATCTCCACATCACAGATGATGTGTCACTCTTACCGCCCAAAGTAAGGGAAGCCATGAAGTTGTCCCGACCCCAAGAATTTCAACGACTTGCCGGACGGGTATTGAAGGCGTCTTTTTTGTTAATAAATATAAATTATGTAAAAATAGAGGTATATATAAAAATATATTTATATTACAGCCCTTCCAAAGGGAGAGCAAAATTAATATTAACGATACGCCAAACAAGACAACAACTGGAGGCGTAATGGGATTACTTATGCCTCTCTATACCATCGGAATCATTGTTTTCTTCATGTATACGATATTAAGAGTAAATAAAATTATATTACTTTTATTCAACGCAATACTTGGTTTATTTTTCAGTCTTAGTTAAACAATAAATAATAATTCACTTACGAATACATTTAAGAGCTATTAATTTTAGCATAAAGTTTCGTTTACATAAAATTTTAATTTACTATAATTAATACAACTCCTTAAAATGTAGTCTAATTTATAAAAATTATTTTTCCAATCATAAGATGATGTTTAATAAGAATTCAGTAGAAAGTGTTGCGAGAGAAGAGGAAACACCAATAATAAACCCAGACTTACAAATGGATCCGGAATATAAGAAATACATTTTTAGGGAAGAATACGATGAAAAGGGAAAGAAAATTAGAAATCTTGATGACATTAAAAGAAAAGCAAAATTTATTAATAAAAACTTAAAAGAAAGCAAAAGAAAGAAAATCAAACCAATTATGAAAGATTTTGATTGCGATAGAGGTTTGTATTATTTTTAAAATATTTAATATTTGTAATCTTGTTATTTGTAAGACTATAAAGTGCCATATGCTGTACCATATAGTATCAAAAGCACTTCATGTGCTCATCCGAGATATGGAAGAGTTTAAGACAAAGTTAAATGAAGTGGAGATCTATAAAAACCAAACCAAACAAATGGATTCAACAGCAGAGGACGCAAAGCTTATTATTAACGAAGAGGTCTGACTATAATCACAAATTTTATTCAATTAATTAACTATTAATAGTTATAGTATTCTTGAGGCAATCTAATTATATGAACGACAAATAAGTTATATAATTTGTCAATCAACAAGCATAATATCTATTTTTAAAAATCTAAAATTATATTTATTACTAATTGCGCAACCTAATGTACCTGTATATCGACTGTATATTGACATTAGATTTATGGCTAAAAATAAGTTACTGTTATATCACTTAATACATCAATGATTATAAGCATTAACTTGTGTTCACAGAAAGAAATCAATGAAAAGAGCGATAAATCCGACGAAGAAAACACTGAAAATGAGGAAAATAATGATTCGTCAAAAGAAAATGACGACAAAAAAG